TCCAAGTTGATAAGTGCTCACTGCATCAACACGTCCGACTTTACCTAAGACTATTTAAAACCAACATTGCATGATATTGTTGACTATAATCACTCACGTGACTCACTTATCTCGCAAATATTCACGGGTGGCCTGCTATGTGTCGCGTACACAGCAAGGAACAAATCATACACATTCTCTGTCCTCGTCACAGGGCCGCGCTCCTCAAGGGAGGACAGCTGGCAAAGTTATGTGACAAGCCGCAGTGACTTCCCCAGATGAAAAGAGGCCTTGTAGGGGGAGCTGAAGCATGGCTGGGCTGTGGGTGGGACACAGGGCCCATTCCTTGGATGTGGCACCGTCGGAGATGGTTTGGCTGATTTGGGGAGAGTAGACTCTGAAGGAAGGGGAGGTGTGTCCACGGTGTCCTGGAACAGCTACCGCAGCCAAAGGGACAAATACACAGCGCGGAGGGCGAGAACGTGGGACAGGTGGAAGAACATTCGGGAGTCCAGAGTGGCTAGGGAGGGAGAGGTGGAGTGGCAGGGTGTGGGGTCAGAGCTGAGACGGAGGGGCTGTGGGGCCACACTATAGCCTGCCTTCTTTCCTTTACTGCCATCGGCATTTTCCTCTATAGTTCAAATATGAAAGGTGTCCCCAAAGGCCCATGAGTGAAAGCTTGGTCCATCGCCTGTGGGCTGTTAAGGGGCCATGGAGCCTTTAAGAGGTGATACCGGGGAGAGAAGTCGGCCATCAAGGTGCACCTTTAGGGATTAGAACGAGGCTTCAGCCCATTTCTGTCTCTCGCTTTCTCTTCTGTGTGTCACAAGGATGAAGGCTCCACTATGCTCCCTCCATGTGCTGCCTTTACCATCGGCCAAAAGGCAACGCCAACAGACCCATGAGGTGAAAGGCTGTGACTCCAAATAAGGCTTTTCTCCTTTTAAGTGGATTTCAAAAATGTCATTTTTGCAGAGCCCGGTGACTCCCAGCCACCAGTCTGGTGCAGAGAGTCGGAGGGGACGGACGCAGATGGGTGGTGAATTGTAGGCCACCAGCCTGGGCTGTATGGTGACACGTGGTGATCCGGGCCTATAGTCTCAGCTACTCTACAGGCTGCAGGAGGATTAAGATGTCAAGGCCAGCCTGGGCTATAGATCGAGACCAAGGCTAGCCTAGGCAAGTTAGTGAGATCCTGTCTCAAAACAAAGAGTGAATAAAGGGGTGGGAGTGTGGCTTAGTGTTAGGGTGCTTACCCTGGCTTCGATCCCCCGTACTTAGGGGGAAAAAAATCCCAAGTTTATTGCTACTCTAATAAGACTGGACTGTTAAAATGAAAATATGTCACCACACAATTGAGAAAATGTAACATGAGGGCCGGCTTGTTGGGGTTTCTGTCCAGTCCAGTACCCCACAGCTGGCAAATCCCAAATAAAATCACACACAGGACTCCATAAGATTATAAACTGATTGGCCCATTAGGTCAGGTTTCTTGTTAACTCTTATAGCTTATATTAACCCATTATTCTCATCTATGTTAGCCATATGGCTTGGTACCTTTTTCAGCTGTCAGCTCACATGTTGCTTCTTTGGTGATCTGGGCAGGAATGGCAGAGGGAGCTTCCTGCTTCCCAGAATATTCCTGTTCTTATCGCCCCGCCTCTACTTCCTGTCTGGTTGACCCACCTATACTTCCTGCCTGGCCAATCAACGTTTTAATAAAATACATGATTGACAGAATACAGATAATTCTCCCGCACCAAGAAAACCAAGTTCTTGTCTTCCATAACAGGTCACAAATAAGCATGCCAGTCAGGGCATCCGTGTCCCTAAGTCAATCAGAGGCCCAGATGCCCTCTAGGCTGCTGCTTCACAATCTCCTGGGACATGGCACAGTGAACTAGCCTCTGTGCCCGCATGGCCAGCAGTGTACAGGAAGAAAGGAAACTGACAGGACGCCGTCAGCCTTCAGGTTAGGTCTGGGGATGAACACACTGTCCTTAGCCTGCCCGCTGGAAAGTGCTCAGCCATCCTGCCTGTCACTCACCTGCAAGAGGAATGAGAAAATAGCCGCTCATCTGCCAGGAAGAAGGAGAAGCCAAATTTGGTGAGAAACTACCAAGACCAGCCATGGTGGGCTCACCAGGAAATATGGGAAGCAAAAGCCCAGCAACTTAAAAAGTCATGTGTTGGCAGGTGTGTGGGGGGTGGGGCGGGGGGAGGTATAGCGCTTCAGAGTCTGAGGCAGACAGAATATGAGGAAGGCCTAACCAGCAAAACTCTGCCTTCTGTAGTCGGTGGCTAGGAGTGTAGCTTGGTGCCAGGGTGTCTGACTAGATGCACAAGGGCCTGGGTTCAATCCGCTAAAAAAGGGAAGGTGTGTCTAGTCACACACCACACAGCTTCCGGCGTCTCTCGTCAGCCCTTCGTGCTGCTGTTGCTGTGAAGAGATCCGGCTACAACATGTTTGATAGGGCAAGCTGTCTCTTCTTGGAAAGCAGGCCGAAGACTCGCTTACCCAGTCAGACTAACTGGAGCGCACCCTGCTCTTTGCATCTGAAGACGACACACTTTGGCGCTACACTGTCATCCTGGCCGCTGAGGTTTAGTGCACTGACCTGACCTTATTCTGGAGGAAATGCTTCCTTTTTATGTCCCCAGACCCAGCTGTCTGTAGTGAAGCCAGGGTAGACACCCACATCTGCCCCCCATTATACAAAGTCGGCATGTGGTATGAATGGCAAGGTGCCTGTGAATATCTAGTCTCCTTTCCTAACTTGTTTACCCCAAATAGAAAAGGCTCTTGCTTCACAGCCCAGACTGATCTGGAACCTGTTTTCCTGTGCTTCATTTTTAATAATTTATTATTTTGTACGAATGGGTAGTTTGCCTGCATGCATGCATGCATGTCTGTGGACTTGTTGCAGTCCCCCTGCCTCTATCTCCTGAGTGCAGTTACTACAGACTGGCCCCACCAAAACCAGCTAGTCTCCTTCGTTAGAATAACATGGTGACTCCCGTGGCTGCTCACAATAAAGACCGTGCATTTCCCATTGCCTCTTCCAGGTGGATGTGGCCGCATGTCTAGGCTCTGGCTAAGGAGCATCATCTAAGAAATATGGACCACTGATGCACACATGATGTCCTTTAGCAGGAAACCGTGTCCTTGCCTTGATCCCTCATCCACTCTTTCCATCTAGAACATGACTGGAGTAAGAACTACCTGGGAGGGGGCCCTAGGTCTCTGGTACTAAGAGCTAGGTCACATATGGGTTTGGACTTTAGGAGAAAGGAAATGCCCTTCCGCTTTGTGGGAGCCAGGCCTTTTTAACAGCAGCTAAGCTCAGATCTGAATCTCTTAGGTCTTGCGAATTCTTTCTGGTCTCATCAAGTGGCTCTCTGGCAACTTGTCTTGACTGCTGTGGTCACAGTTGGGCCTCAGCAACGGCCATCAGTTGGCAGAAGAGTTCACTCTTTTTTCCCTTCCAACAGGTGTTCAACTCACCTGCTGTTTGCTTGGCAGGGGTGGAAGGCGGTGGGGGGTGGGGGAGGTGGGGGGGGCCTCAGACTTTTGGGACCTAACAAGCAAGGCTTCTCTTGAACTTATTTATTTATTTTAGGGAAGTCTGTTCTGTCTCTAGAGGCGGAGAGGCAGGCAGGTCTCTGAGTTCGAAGCCAGCCTGGTCTACAGAGTGAGTTCTAGGACAGGCAGAGCTATAGAGAAAAACCTTGCCTTAAAAAAGTAAAGAAAAGGCAATCCCCATGACATCCAAACACCCACACAAAGAGCCCCCCACAACTTTTCTGGAGCCATGTGCCCGACTGTGGGATCAGGGGAGGGAAGGGACCCGAGATGAGACAGTCCTTGACTGGCAGCCCTTCCCCAGTGTGATGTCTATGTGAAGTCAACTTCCAGGGGAAGGCAGTGTGCTGCCAGGGGTGTCTGTGTGTTCCCCCCTTTTCTGGAACTTCAGTGGGAAGCTGGTGACCCCATCTTACACCCTGACAAAGGGCAAAGTTCCTTGCCGTCCTGTCCTCAAACTCATGGGTGAGCAGGAGCTTTGCCCTATGACACCCCTGCCCCGAGAGCCCTGTGGGGAGTTGTGTGTCCCTCTGCTTGTCAGGCAGAAGCCAGAGCTAGGCCGAAAGTCTGTGAACCTCAGTCGCGGCTACCACTCAGGATGCAGGTCAGCCCTGCAGAGCTGGCTGTTTTGGAGAGGCTCCCGGTATGGCCATGTGTCCCCCTTCAGGAAGCCCCTGAAATAACAGCCATGATGCCCCAGCTCCAGCTCAGAAGGCATCTGAGCTGCCCAGTCAACAAAAGTGCCATCTGCTGCCCAGCACAGTAGAGAGAAGTCACCCAAGCCTGTCTCTGGCTGTGGGGAGCAGATAGTTCTTTGTAGCGCCTGCCCTACGGGACAGTACACAAGCTGGAACTAGGCTGGAGACTTAAAAACACACACTTACAGACAGACAGAGACAGGGCCACGGGTCATCCTTGATACAAGAACGCCAACTTTATTGTGCTCCAGGGAAGCTTATATAGGGATCCTTAACTGATAGCCACGACCCAGCTCTCGGGATCTACCAGCTGCAGGCCTCACCAGAACCCACACCCCTGCCATCAGGGTCTCGTGCTCAGAGCAGCTGCAGGCACAGGAAAACACGCTGTTCTGCTCAGTTCACTCCAGCAGGCAAAGGGGCTGAGGCAGGCAAAGAAAGTCAAGGGGCCAGGGGTCTGCAGCCCCCAGCAGTACTTTGCCCTGGTTTTACCAGAACTATGATCCCAATAGCCTCAGCAGCCAGGCCCGGCCCTCTGCCTCTCCTGTCACACGGCCTCTTCTCTTGTAAGTCCTCTGTTTAGAGAGTCATGGTGCAGGTTCTTTTTTACCACACAGCGTTTGGCCCCCAGCTCCATTTCATCTAAATCACAAATGGCTGTGGAAGATAGAGAGGCCAAGACCCCGGCATGAGGTTCTAGGGCTGTCCGTTCCCCCAGCAGCCATCTCTTGTCCTGGCAGACCCAATCCCTCCCACTCGGAACTGTGAGTTTGATGATCGCGAGAGCAGCGAGAGGCTCGGTACTCCTGGCCGTCCAGATGTGTTCTGGTGAGAGTCCTGCCAGCCCATCCGTGGTTAGCTAGCTCTGACTTTTCCTCTGTGTCCTGGAAGGCATTTTTCCCCCATTGCTCTGATTTTTGAAATAGTAACGAACACTTTCCTTGTCGTCTCAGAAACGCGTGCTGTTGTCATGGCGGACAAACGCCAGGGTTAGCGACCCTTACGTAAAAGATGCTGCGCATGTGTGAAAGAATCAGTTTTAATTTCATCTCTGGGTTTATGGTGAGGATTCATTACTTAATCATGGGAAAGATCATGGGAGGAGTTATCAAATCGCTGGGAGAAAAACAACTTTGAGCGTATTGGTTTAGACAGGCACTGCTTGAGGAGACGGAGAGTGTGAGAGTCGGTGGGGATGAAGGACACCAAGGAAACAAAGCCTCTTAAATCAACCGGATCGGATCGATGCACAAATGGACTCGCGGGGACCATGGCAGCATGCACGGGACCCGCATGCACGGGACCAGCATGGGTCTCAGCCAGATGGGTTCCCAGCATAGGGAGGAGAAGCGAACACAAGCCCTCCCTCCCCCCCTTCCTAACCCGGAAGCTCTCTCTAAATGGCAATTGCTCAAAAACTAAAACTGTTTTCTCCAACAGGGTCTCACTAAGCATACAAATCACTCTTAAAGGCAGGTCCCATGCCCGGCAGTCGATTGTCAACACAAACTCAGTGTCATTTTTGGAGGGTTTTTTATTTTTTTTAATCTTACAGGTCTTTTGTGTGTGTGTGCGTGTGTGTATGTATGTGTGTGTATAATTATGGTTTCCTGTTTTGTGTTTTTGAGATTTCTGTGTGAATGTGTGTATATCGCTTTGTCTATATATGTTTCTTGTGCTTTTTCTTTGACTTTCACCTGTTTGTTCTGTTCTATTACAACTTGTTTTTATTTTATTATTATTCTTTTAGATGCCTGTTTGGTTTTTTTAAAGTTGTTTTTGTTTGTTTGTTTTTGTTTTTCTAGACAGGGTTTCTCTGTAGCTTTGGAGCCTGTCCTGGAACTCACTCTGTAGACCAGGCTGGCCTCGAACTCAACAGAGATTAACCTGTCTCTGCCTCCCAAGTGCTGGGATTAAAGGCGCGCACCGCCACCGCCTGGCACCTGTTTGTTTTCTAATGAGAGAGAGAAAGAAAGGATTCAGGTCAGAGGGGAAGGACCTAAGAGGAGTTGGGAAAGGGAAACTATAATCAGAACATATTGTATGAAAAAAATATATTTTCAATAAAAGGAAAATAAAGGGGAAGCTGCTCTTCCGGTGGTTGTCCTGTCTCTCGGCTCTCCCAGAGCAGAATGTCAGACAGGAGCTGGAGAGCAGAGGGAGATCAATGAACAAGAAACAATTCAGGGTCCTGCTTCTCTTCTTGTCATTGACCCTGACTTGCTGACCTGCACAGAGCCGCCCAGGGCAGCAGGCAGGGAAGAAGCAGCAATGGGACTCGCAGCAGGCAGCCCCTCACGCTCGTTCTTCAGGTCCTCACCGCATGTTCAGGGGTTGCTGGCCCCTTCTGTGTGATGCCACACAGGGCCACTGCTTCCTCCCGTGCATTCTCCCCATCGTAGAACAACCCTGTGAAAGGATAGGGCATTTCCACCATCCGGAGCTGGAAAGGTGGCGTGGACCCCGGTGGTCAGATTCTGTGCCTTCTATAGCCCAAAGCTGATGAATCTAAAACCTCTTGGTGCCTCTCTGTGGTCGTGAAGAACTGGAGCAGGAGGGCGCATCTGTTTTTATCTATTTTTATGTTATTTTATGTGCATTGGTGTTTCACCTGCATGTATGTCTGTGGGAGGGGTCGGGTCAGCTGGAACTGGAGTGACAGACAGTTGTGAGCTGCCATGCAGGTATTGCGAATTGAACCCGGGTCCTCTGGAAGAGCAGCCAGTGCTCTTAACTGCCGAGTCATCTCTCCAGCCCAGGAGTATCTTTTAAATGCCAAATGAAATTCTTTGCTCCGTTCCACAGTGTAAGTCTGGCATCATGGAAATCAATAGCCCTGCTATCCTTCCAGATGTGTGAACTACTAGAGGATCCGACAATAAGGAGATTGTAAGCACAGCCTCTCTGTTCCTGAGCCTTTACCTATCTAAAGTGGCTTTTAAACCTGGACTGCATCCTCAGGCTGAAATCATTGTTTAGACGATGGTGCTTTTGGCAGCCTCTTAGCAAAGCTAGCCAATTACACGAACCCAAAATGCCAAGCCTATCTGGCTTGCAAAGGCCACTTGGAGACTTAAGTGCACCGAGTTGGGTCGTTTTTCCAGGGAATCCTTAAAAGGGAAGCTGGGCGTGAGGATTCTTATCTGTTCTTGCCTGGCTCCCTCTGCTAATGTATCAGTCAGTGAACTGATTGACAGGCAGTTGACGTCTGCGTGAGGCACCAGAGAAGTGAGGACGCCAAGGCTGCCACAAACTAAAATTATTCATCTCCGTATCTGGTTGTCACTTGTGTTCTTTCCCTAGATTCAGTTTCTTCTTCTTTTCCCTCTTCTCTTCCTCTTCCCCTTCCTCCTGTCTCTCCTCCTCCTCCTCTTTGAGACAGAGTCTCACTATGTAGCCCTGGCTGTCCTAGAACTCACTTTGTAGACCACGCTGGCCTCAAACTCACAGACATCTGCCTGCCTCTGTCTCCTAAGTGCTGGGATTCCATTCTTCTAAAGCGAGCCGTGTAAGTCATCATAAGTAGACACAGGGGCCGCTTGCTTGGGTTCACAATTGCCCATGGGAAAGCCTACAGCTCCGGAGGCCAGCATCAGAGCTTTGCAAGCCGGTGATGTGCCTGAGGACCTTGTTAATGCTGCAGATTCTGATTCTCAAGACCCTTCTAGTAACTTCCAGTAACTTCTGGTGACTGCCAAGATCTATTGACATGCTCTGCGTGTCACCTAGCTTTTACACCTCACTTAAAAAGCAGGAAGAAGTGACTAGTTGCCAGGTGATGCACAAAACCGACCTGTCCAGGATGCAAAACAGTGGTGTCTTTGTAATGTAACTGTGAGGGCCTGGCTATGGGTAGACCCCAATTCACAGAAGTGTCTGTGTCAGTGTATGGGTATCTGGATGTGAGTGCAGGAGCCAACGGAAGCAGGAGGCCACAGATCCCCTACAACTGCAGTTACAGGGGATTGTGTTCTGCCTGTTACAGATGCTTGGAATTGAACTTGGGTCCTCTGACTGAGCGATGCATACGCCTAATCAATGAGCTATCTCTCAAGCCCCTTCTAAGAGTCCTTTTGTGACATTAGGCAAGCTATTTTTACACCTTTGAATGTTCATCCATCACACGGAGGTTATAAATGTCATTGTCATGCCCCATAGACATTATTAAACCCTGAGGGAGGCATGGAGATCTGGTACCTTCTCTGAAGACTTGCTACTGTCGGTGTCAACAGTCACCACCACCATCACTGCCTGGCTCGACTCCCCAAAATCTGTGAGCCCGGGAAAGTCCGGTGGCTACCTCATAGGTTTGCTATGAGAATTTACTGAGCTACCACATGGTGACGTCTCAGCAAATGTTAGTCTTCCTCTCTTTGGAGCCCGTGGTAAATCTTCCTCAACGAAGACAAGCTTGGTTATGAACTTGTCTCTGATTGAGGCAACGTCTGTGTGTGTCCTTCAGGGATCCATGTGTTATACTTCTGTCTCTGTGGTGAGGAATGAGGAGGAAGGGGGCTGGGGAGCAACTCAGCCGTGGAGCACTTGCCTAGCGTGGGTGAGGCCCTGGGTTTGAGCCCCAGGAGAAGATGGTAACAGTCTGCAGTATTTAGAGATGAGGGCCTCTGGGACGCGGTTAGGAGTAAAGGGAGTAGAGGAGATGTCTCCACGATTGAATCCTGGCAACTTTACACGGAGAGTGAAAGATGGTGGCCCACGCCTTTAATCCCAGAGGCAGGTGGATCTCATAGTTCGAGGATAGCCTGGTCTACAGAGTAAGTTCTAGGACAGCCAAGGCTACACAGAGAAACCCTGTCTCAAAAAACCAATCCAAACCAAAGAGAAGAGTGAAAAGGGCAAGAAAGTAGTTGTATATTCTCTGTGTCTCTCCTCTCTCTTCTCTCTTCTCTCTTCTCTCTCTCTCTCTCTCTCTCTCTCTCTCTCTCTCTCTCTCTCCTTCCCATCTCTTCAGACATAATGCCCCATACCACCGTCAGTACCCTTCAACAAGCAGGTCTTCACCATATGGAGGCTGTCCGCCTTGAACTTCCATAACAGGAGTGCAAACAAACCTCTTATTGTTAGAACTTACTCTGCCTGTGGTACCATGCCATTAGCAGCCAAGGGCTGATGAATACACTCGCGCCGGGAATCTATTTTAATTCACGTTATTAAATGAAACCTCCTCTCGTGACTTTTGCAGACTGGATGACAGATCAGCCTTGTGTGCATGAGGCTTGGAAAGATGCTGGCTTTGCCAGGCCATGCAGGCAGCGTGCCCTGAGCGCAGGATGTGTACCGCGGGCACACTTCCAACCCAGCAGCCGGCTGCCAGGAACGGCAACTCAACACATATGAAAGCGGACAAGAAGCTCTGTCTCCCAAAACCAGGATTCAAAAATGATGATCCTGTCTCATCCTAGGCCTGTGTTGGCTAGACTCCCCGACCATTAAAAGTGCTCCATTCCAGCTGCTTCAAGAGAAAGGAGTGGTGGTTTATTTTGCAGCCTGCCGTGCCAGCACAGCATGGAGCAAGCATTCAAATGCTGGGTTTCCTCTTTCCACAAAAGACTCCGGGCAAAACAAAGCCGGGTTGAGCTGGGTCACGGGCCTCTGGGCCCTCTCGGTCACTTACGTGCAACAAAGGCAAACCAGACCCTGGCTGACCACAGTTCTGTGGACCTGGGGGGTGGGGGGTGGGAGTACGTTGCCATGGTGATGGTTCAGCACCAGTCCAGGAGCTGGTGCAAGAGAGACCCCAGGTGCAAGGTGCGCTTCCGGAGGGGAAAGTGGGAAACTTAGAGGGAATTCACGCCGGTTCGTAGGATTTCCATGTTTTGTCTAAAGGAGATATTTCTAGCTCATCTTATGTTGGAAAATTGTGTTCAGGGCTCTGAACTCTGAACACAGTAGGTTTTACCACATCCTGAATGTCAGAGACCATTTAAAACCAGAGAAGGAAGGAAGAGGAGTTGAGACTCGCGCTGTTGTCCAATCGGAGTCCGATAGAAAGCATTCGATAATGGTCTATTTTTAGAGACATACGGGATGCTCATTAGAAGAGGTCAGGGATCAGCCCCGGCTCTGTGACAGGCTTTGTAGAAGACACTCACAGTGCAGAGAAATCATTTGATCTCTTGGTGTTTCAGATTAGATCACCAATTAACATGAGTAAGAACCGTGGAATTTTAGGTTGGGGAGAAAAGCAGCAGGAAGGGCTAGTTAGTTCATGCATTCATTTGCAATCCTGAATATTTAAATCTCATTTTATTTTTATTTATT